CCTGATCGAATGCCATTAAACTACAACTACCCGGGAATATTTAAGAGAAAATTTTTCTCGGATGATAATTTACATTCTTTGCATTGTTACTGCATCTGAAGTATTTTCTATAATGCATTTGTATAATCCACGCAATTTTTTTATAACATGCATTATAATCGTAAAATTGCACTTTACAAAGACTAGATCAAGGATTTACAACCTTTTCCACGTTTCTATCCCTTTTGAGAAAAGCGTTTTTCCATCGACCCACTCCTTTAATGTTATATGAGTTATGAATTATAGATTATGTTTTTATAAAACAGCTCTTCGACATTAGTTTTTAAAACACATCTTTATTTTATAATTCTGAAAATTCATCCATTGTGAAACAGAAATGAATTTCAAAGAACATAAAATATTTGAAAAAGTTTTCAATAGGAAATTTCCCGTTTTCGATGTTCTTTACAACGACAAGGAGGATCAACTCTATAACACATATTCCACTTCTGAAATACGCACTCAGTATGGCAAGCGCGACGTTTTTGCCAAGGTGTACACAGTGATATAGGTGTATACGTTGTTATTTGAGGGAGACTACGACTTGAAATTATCGTGCAAAGATCTGAAATATAACATCTTTTGTACATTTAGGGTATATAAATATTAAAGAAATGTAGAAATAACATACCAGAAACACAAAGCAGGAAAAACAATAGCGGTATCTTCATCATGTCTGAAATATTCTGATCCGAAATATTCAGCATTTATATAGTGGTATAGATAAATATAGATTACACAATGCGTAGTATTTTCTAAAGCCTTATCATTTTTCTATTTGTGGCTTATATTTATTAGATACATCCGTGGTATTTCTTACAGAATTAAATATAAATATTATTCCAGTGATGCAAGAATTACTGACTCCTTTCTCTTCTATTACGCTTCATATCTCAGGATGGGTAAAGCAAGGAGGCTTGTATATGAAGGGCATTGATGCCATCAAATTTTGATGGTTAAAGGTCGAGAAAGAGAGGAGATTAAGAGGTATCTCGAGAGGGAGGATGGGACTTAATGAACATTTTATTCGTTATTAATTAACATTTACACTTTTTATAAAACTTCTCCCTAAGATTTCGCCATTTTATAAGTAATAATTAAACATATAATAGGTTTTTATTTAAAATATCTTATAACAGAGGCACCACACACAATTTTATATATTTTGCTTAATTAATAATATAAAAGTTATTTTTTAAATAAAAACTCATAACAGCCGGAAAAGTTAAGCAACTCGTTGCTGGATTTTTTTCTAAACACAAATATTGAAAACGAACATACATAACGATTCAAGTTTATAATAACGTATAATAGTAATTATAATAGGTTTAGAGAGGAAATCAAATTTATTTAATTACTATAACTCGTATTTAAGTAACAATTTAATATAAGATCAATATTAATGTGAATGAAATTAAATTTTACACGAAACTGAGAAATTAAGGTAGAGCGAATTGTTACAAAATTTTCTATTTTATTGATATTTAAAGAATTAACTCTTTCGTCGTCACTTGAATATCACAGGTAAGAACGTACTTCTTATCTCAGAAATAACATTTATATTTAATTCTGTAGGAAATATAATCCACAAAATGGAAAATGATACGACATTGAAAAATAATTTAAAATGTATAAGATACAATTATCAATAACACTGTAATATATATATAAATTCCGAATATTTCTGATCAGAAACAGAATATTTCCGATACAATGAAGGTGCCGCTTTTAATTTTCTTGTTTTGTGTTTGTTGTAAGTTATTTCTACGTATGTTTAATTAATATTTGTAACCTAAATGAAGAGAAGTTTTGTTATATTTCAGATTTCTGCACGATAGTTGCGAGTCGTAGCCTCCCTAATGTGTCAACAGCACTACCTTTTCTGCCATGTACCATGTCTGAAAGACGTGACCTTTGCCATACCGAGTGCGACTTTCACAAATGGAGAATATGTTATAGAGCTAACCCTTCCTGTCTTTGTTTAAATTAAAAATAGCGAGAAAAATTTTCCATAGATATTTTTTCTGATGTTTTGCTAATCCTTTCAAATTTATTTGTATTTTGCTAAGGTAATTTACTACAGCGTTGTAGACAAAAGGATATTAAATTGATAAGGTGTATACCGTTCTAAGCGCAAGGCTTCTCTTGTTTATCGACGATGTTTATGTTAATTTAAAACGAATTATCGAATAAAGTAATTTTATATGACAAATATATTTTTGATTCTGTATATCAGACGAATTTTTTTTCTACTGTGTCGATTTGTAAACAGATGCTCTCGACGTTAATATTAAGAAAATTGAATATAATTTTATATGTAACTAGTCTTGTATCGGCATGTTGGGCATGAGCTACTGAGGTATGACACCCAGTAGTAAAGTGTGGCGGAATCGTTACGTAACGTAGTAGTTAGATATTGTCTTTTATGGTCGTTACGTGGGGACTAATACTTTCCGGGAGATCTTTTAAAAGTATAAATCAAAAATATAAATTAAAAAACAAAGAAAAAAATTCCGTGGAGATGTGTGTATGTACTGTACAGTACATTTGTGTAAGGGGGTGTTGGTATCTATTTCGTTTAATATCTCACGGTGAATAAAGATTAACACTAAGAAGACTAGGAATTCTTCATATCTTCGTGGATCTGTGTGGATTATTTTGACCCATATACGAAAACAACTTGATTTTCATTGCTTATTTTATTCAATACAAATAGTTATCTTATCCCATATAAAATATGAGAAAAGACATCCCGTTTGGAGCGGCAATTCTATTAGTATCGCCGTGGCCATAATATTTTAAGGGGAGGAACAGAAATAGTCCCAGGATACATATTAATCCGTGGGACGTTGGGAAAAACATTCGACGCTAAATCTACAATAAAATCACTGAATGCAGGTTGAAAAATTTTATCTTTACCGGAATCTTTGTCGACACTCTCGAACTGTTCAGATATGTCNTATACCAGGGGCAACTTTAATAAAAATAATTAAAATAATTACAACTTTACAAAAAGAGAGAAGTTGCCGATCTTGCCCCTATACCCGGGGCAACTTCGTCAATTTCTCTCTTCTTGTAAAGTTGTAATTATTTTAATTATTTTTATTTCCAAACTGATTTTAACCAGTTCTATAGTAAGGTAACATTCCAATAGACAATATGCAAAGCTTTTTTTCAGTTTACAGCAGTATTTATTACACAAAATTTAAGTAAAGCTTAACATGCCGATCTTGCCCCGATCTCCCCTAATTTTATATGTAACTAGTCTTGTATCGGCATGTTGGGCATGAGCTTCTGAGGTATGACGCGCAGTAAATAAAGTGTGTATAATTATGTAACGTAGTACTTAGATATTGTCTTTTATGGTCGTTGCGTGGGGACTAATACTTTCCGGGAGGTCTTTTGAAAGTATAAATGAAAGTATAAATTGAAAAAAAAAAAGAAAAACTTTCGTGGATATGTGTGTATGTACTGTACTGTACATGTGTACAAGGGGATGTTGGTGTCTATTTCGTTCAATATCTCAGGATGAATAAAGATTAAGAAACAAAAATTGGCATGGTAGCATGTGAAAATTTTGGTGGTTAAAGATCGACAAGGTGGAAAGATTGAGGTGGATCACGAGAGGGGTCGGACTTAATGAAGATTTTAGTCGCTATTAGAGTTTACAATTATTTATAAAACTCGTCCTACCCTCGAAATTATTCCTTTTGCCGTTTTATGATTAATAATATAAAAAATTTAAAGAGAATTTTAAAACACGTATTTCTATGCTCACAATTGAATTTATCAACAGTTGTAAACAATTATTTATGCTCGAAAAAACTTGAATTTGTCCAAAATAACACACACAGTAAATAACAACATTGAGATTTGTGGAAACGAGGTTTGAGGATGCTTAAATAAGTATGGTAACAAGATCTCACACGGGTGTTATTGGGAACACTGTAAAACTGTAACAAAAGTAAATTGTAAATCGAATGAACAGACCATTAAAATAGATTTATTTGACAGATGAATAGTTGAATGAATAACCACATAACCACTCAGTTTTCGAATATGTTAAACCAGATCACGTAAATACAATAACTTAAAGTCTATTTTTCTTTTTCTGGAAGCAGTTTGCAATGGAGAGTTTTTGATTATTACTTAACACTAAGAAGACGAGGAATTTTTCATACCTTCGTGGATCATTGTGGATTATTTTGACCCATATACGAAAACAACTTGATTTTCATTGCTTATTTTATTCAATACAAATACTTATCTTATCCCATATAAAATATGAGAAAAGACATCCCGTTTGGAGCGGCAATTCTATTAGTATCGCCGTGGCCATAATATTTTAAGGGGAGGAACAGAAATAGTCCCAGGATACATATTAATCCGTGGGACGTTGGGAAAAACATTCGACGCTAAATCTACAATAAAATCACTGAATGCAGGTTGAAAAATTTTATCTTTACCGGAATCTTTGTCGACACTCTCGAACTGTTCAGATATGTCGTTATCGATGTCCTAGAGTGCCCTTACTAAACGTATGTCCGACACACAGTCGAACGGCCACGAAGGTACTTACCAGCTAACACATGTAAACAATTAAACACAACAATGTAAACACGACTACCAAGCATTAGCCAATCCGTTTGTAATAAATGAAGAATCCCCTAAACGTAGCAGAAAACCTGATTTTGCGTTTTTCAGAGAATTAAGATAAGAAGGAGTCGTGATAATTGTTGTTGACTGGCATTTGATTTAAAGTGGACCAGACAAACTATTGTCAACCCGCTAACTATTGTCTATTGATTTAATTAATGTTAAACAAGTAATGTATTATAGGAAAACAGCAAAAGTAACAACAAATATCCCAGTGTTAAAATAATGAATTAAAATAAGGCATTAAAGATCAAAAATATTTATTCAAATTAAAAGAATTTTCTCATTTTATGAAGTATTTAAAGATTCTTATTAAAGAAGACAAAAAAATTTTAAGCATTATAAAATAAAACTTCTGCAGTTTAACACTCTATCAATTCGACATAGGAAAATCTTTCAGAAACTTCATTTTCGTAAAATAGTTTTCCGAAATGTCCTCCCCAATGTTTATTATCATGTTTTCCTCTTTTCTTTCCTTGTCGATCCGGAAGTTTAGGACATTCACAAGGCGGTTCCGCACTGCACAAGCGTAATTTGGCTACCACGCACTCCAGGTTACATTCGCCCTTTACTTGTTCTGCAGTGCAAATCTCGTATCCGTTGACAGAGGAAAATCCTACAACCAAAGCGGTAAGATTCCGTACGGTATTTTATCAATCTCGAAAATTTGTATCTTAAGACCACACTTACCGATGATGTAAATCACGCAAATTATCAGCAAGATCTTTACATTCTCCATTTCACTCCTAACGCTTCCAAAACAAAGAAAGTATTGAAACAATGTAATCACACGCTATTTATTGATATATGAATTTCTTGTATTTATATCTAAAGTAGCAAATAAGCAATATATTAGATGAGAGATATTATTACCGAGCTTGATATTTTATAAAACTCTTATGGCAATACGAACCTTTACGAATTACTTAAAGCAAGAATACTTACGATATTGTCATTCTTAAGTTTTAACAAAGAAATTGTTAGGAAACAATGTTTTCTGCATTTACAATTAATCTTTGATTTATAATGTGCAAAAACTCTGTCATGCAAATATGGCGTCCGAAATCCAACAATACATGACGTGATTAATATGCCAATCAATTTTCGTAATAATTATTATTATTAGTGATAACACAATAATAATATGTTAATAACGAATAAAATCTTCATTAAGTCCTACCTTTCTCCAGATACATGACCCTCCCCTCTATCTTCTCGACCTTTCATCGCCAAAATGTAATAGAATCAATGCCCCTCATATACAAGCCACTATGCCAAATTTTGTTTCTTATTCTCTACCCTATTCTGACATATTAAGCAAGATAGATGCCAACAAACACACAAACCTACCTACATATACACCACATTTTTTGCTGATTTTATGTGTTTGGATTCAGAAGGTCTAAAAAAAGTAGAGATTTGCAAAAACTCTACGTTTTGTGGGTCAAATTTGAGACAATTCCCATTGTTATGTAGGATAAAAATAACCTACATAACAAGGGAAACTATGGGAATCGTCTCAAATTTGTACAGTAAAACCTCCGTTTAAACTACAAAGAGTTTTTATATGTTATTTATACTTTAGTAGTGTGCTTATCTTGTAATATATGTCTGGTTAATTCCAATAATGTATTTAAATATTAGAAAGACATACGTATATTAAATGATTTAATTTGTAATTTATGGTCGAGAAAGAAAGGAGATTAAGAGGTCTCTCCTGAAGGAGGATGGGACTTAATGAACAGTTTATTCGTTATTAACATTTACACTTTTTATAAAACTTTTCCCTAAGATTTTGCCATTTTATAAGTAATAATTACAGTCGACCCCCTATAACACTGTTGATAATTCCGTTTTATAAGAATTCCATGTTGTACGAGTCACTTAGATTTTACAAATATGTGTGCCGGGCTGTGAACGACTCAAGTATTTGTAAAATCTAAGTGACTCGTACAACATGGAATTCATATAAAACGGAATTATCAACAGTGTTATAGGGNCGAAATATTCAGCATTTATATAGTGGTATAGATAAATATAGATTACACAATGCGTAGTATTTTCTAAAGCCTTATCATTTTTCTATTTGTGGCTTATATTTATTAGATACATCCGTGGTATTTCTTACAGAATTAAATATAAATATTATTCCAGTGATGCAAGAATTACTGACTCCTTTCTCTTCTATTACGCTTCATATCTCAGGATGGGTAAAGCAAGGTGGCTTGTATATGAAGGGCATTGATGCCATCAAATTTTGATGGTTAAAGGTCGAGAAAGAGAGGAGATTAAGAGGTATCTCGAGAGGGAGGATGGGACTTAATGAACATTTTATTCGTTATTAATTAACATTTACACTTTTTATGAAACTTCTCCCTAAGATTTCGCCATTTTATAAGTAATAATTAAACATATAATAGGTTTTTATTTAAAATATCTTATAACAGAGGCACCACACACAATTTTATATATTTTGCTTAATTAATAATATAAAAGTTATTTTTTAAATAAAAACTCATAACAGCCGGAAAAGTTAAGCAACTCGTTGCTGGATTTTTTTCTAAACACAAATATTGAAAACGAACATACATAACGATTCAAGTTTATAATAACGTATAATAGTAATTATAATAGGTTTAGAGAGGAAATCAAATTTATTTAATTACTATAACTCGTATTTAAGTAACAATTTAATATAAGATCAATATTAATGTGAATGAAATTAAATTTTACACGAAACTGAGAAATTAAGGTAGAGCGAATTGTTACAAAATTTTCTATTTTATTTATATTTAAAGAATTAACTCTTTCGTCGTCACTTGAATATCACAGGTAAGAACGTACTTCTTATCTCAGAAATAACATTTATATTTAATTCTGTAGGAAATATAATCCACAAAATGGAAAATGATACGACATTGAAAAATAATTTAAAATGTATAAGATACAATTATCAATAACACTGTAATATATATATAAATTCCGAATATTTCTGATCAGAAACAGAATATTTCCGATACAATGAAGGTGCCGCTTTTAATTTTCTTGTTTTGTGTTTGTTGTAAGTTAATTCTACGTATGTTAATTAATATTTGTAACCTAAATGAAGAGAAGTTTTGTTATATTTCAGATTTCTGCACGATAGTTGCGAGTCGTAGCCTCCCTAATGTGTCAACAGCACTACCTTTTCTGCCATGTACCATGTCTGAAAGACGTGACCTTTGTGGCTTGTATATGAAGGGCATTGATGCCATCAAATTTTGATGGTTAAAGGTCGAGAAAGAGAGGAGATTAAGAGGTATCTCGAGAGGGAGGATGGGACTTAATGAACATTTTATTCGTTATTAATTAACATTTACACTTTTTATAAAACTTCTCCCTAAGATTTCGCCATTTTATAAGTAATAATTACAGTCGACCCCCTATAACACTGTTGATAATTCCGTTTTATAAGAATTCCATGTTGTACGAGTCACTTAGATTTTCGAAAACAACTTGATTTTCATTGCTTATTTTATTCAATACAAATAGTTATCTTATCCCATATAAAATATGAGAAAAGACATCCCGTTTGGAGCGGCAATTCTATTAGTATCGCCGTGGCCATAATATTTTAAGGGGAGGAACAGAAATAGTCCCAGGATACATATTAATCCGTGGGACGTTGGGAAAAACATTCGACGCTAAATCTACAATAAAATCACTGAATGCAGGTTGAAAAATTTTATCTTTACCGGAATCTTTGTCGACACTCTCGAACTGTTCAGATATGTCGTTATCGATGTCCTAGAGTGCCCTTACTAAACGTATGTCCGACACACAGTCGAACGGCCACGAAGGTACTTACCAGCTAACACATGTAAACAATTAAACACAACAATGTAAACACGACTACCAAGCATTAGCCAATCCGTTTGTAATAAATGAAGAATCCCCTAAACGTAGCAGAAAACCTGATTTTGCGTTTTTCAGAGAATTAAGATAAGAAGGAGTCGTGATAATTGTTGTTGACTGGCATTTGATTTAAAGTGGACCAGACAAACTATTGTCAACCCGCTAACTATTGTCTATTGATTTAATTAATGTTAAACAAGTAATGTATTATAGGAAAACAGCAAAAGTAACAACAAATATCCCAGTGTTAAAATAATGAATTAAAATAAGGCATTAAAGATCAAAAATATTTATTCAAATTAAAAGAATTTTCTCATTTTATNCCTAGGGTTCCGCGGAACCCAGGTTGAAGACCCCTGTCCTAGAGTACGCTTACTAAACGTATCCGACACACAGTCGAACGGCCACGAAGGTACTTGCCAGCTAACACATGTAAACAATTAAACACAACAATGTAAACACGACTACCAAGCATTAGCCAATTCGTTTGTAATAAATGATGAATCCCCTAAACGTAACAGAAAACCTGATTTTGCGTTTTTCAGACAATTAACATAAGAAGGAGTCGTGGTAATTGTTGTTGACTGGCATTTGATCTAAAGTGAACCAGAGTGATAAGCTGATACCAGCATTCGCCAACCAACGATTGTCTATTGATTTAATTAATGTTAAACAAGTAATGTATTATAGGAAAACAGCAAAAGTAACAACAAATATCCCAGTGTTAAAATAATGAAGTAAAATAAGGCATTAAAGATCAAAAATATTTATTCAAATTAAAAGTGTTTTGTCATTTTATGAAATATTTAAAAATTCTTAATAAAAAAGACAAAAAAATTTTAAGCATTATAAAATAAAATTTCTGCAGTTTTACACTCTATCAATTCGTCATAGGAAAATCTTTCAGAAACTTTATTTTCGTAACATAGTTTTCCGAACTTTATGTTTTCCCGAATGTTTATTATCATGTCTTCCTCTTTTCTTTCCTTGTCGATCCGGAGGTTTAGGACATTCACAAGGCGGTTCCGCACTGCACAAGCGTAATTTGGCTACCACGCACTCCAGGTGACATTCGCCCTTTACTTGTTCTGCAGTGCAAATCTCGTATCCGTTGACAAAGGAAAATCCTACAACCAAAACGGTAAGATTCAGTACGGTATTTTATCAATCTCGAAAATTTGTATCTTAAGACTACACTTACCGATGATGTAAATCACGCAGATTATCAGCAAGATCTTCACATTCTCCATTTCACTCCTAACGCTTCCAAAACAAAGAAAGTATCGAAACAATGTAATCACTCGCTATTTATACGAATTTCTTGTATTTATATCTAAAATAGCAAATAAGCAATATATTAGATGAGAGAAATTATTACCGAGCTTGATATTTTATAAAATTCTTATGGCAATACGAACCTTTACAAATTACTTAAGTCAAGAATACTTACGATATTTTCATTCTTAAATTTTAACAAAGAAATTGTTACGAAACAATGTTTTCTGCATTTACAATTAATCTTTGATATATAATGTGCAAAAACGCTGTCATGCAAATATGGCGTCCGAAATCCAACAATACATGACGTCATTAATATGCCAATCAATTTTCGTAATAGTTATTATTATTAATGGTAACACAATAATGATATGTTAATAACAAATAAACTTTTCATTAAGTCCTACCTTTCTCTGGATACATGACCCTCTCCTCTATCTTATCGACCTTTCATCGCCAAAATGTAATAGAATGAAAGCCCCTCATATACAAGCCACTATACCAAATTTTCTTTTTTATTCTGTACCTTATTCTGAGATATTAAGCAAAATAGATGCCAACAAACACACAAACTCACGTACATATACACCGCATTTTTTGCTGTTTTTATGTGTTTGGATTCAACAGATCTAAAAAAGTAGAGATTTGCAAAAACTCTATGTTTTGTGAATCAAATTTGAGACGATTTGCATTGTTATGTAGGATAAAAATAACCTACATGACAAGGGAAACTNAGACAATATGCAAAGCTTTTTTTCAGTTTACAGCAGTATTTATTACACAAAATTTAAGTAAAGCTTAACATGCCGATCTTGCCCCGATCTCCCCTAATTTTATATGTAACTAGTCTTGTATCGGCATGTTGGGCATGAGCTTCTGAGGTATGACGCGCAGTAAATAAAGTGTGTATAATTATGTAACGTAGTACTTAGATATTGTCTTTTATGGTCGTTGCGTGGGGACTAATACTTTCCGGGAGGTCTTTTGAAAGTATAAATGAAAGTATAAATTGAAAAAAAAAAGAAAAACTTTCGTGGATATGTGTGTATGTACTGTACTGTACATGTGTACAAGGGGATGTTGGTGTCTATTTCGTTCAATATCTCAGGATGAATAAAGATTAAGAAACAAAAATTGGCATGGTAGCATGTGAAAATTTTGGTGGTTAAAGATCGACAAGGTGGAAAGATTGAGGTGGATCACGAGAGGGGTCGGACTTAATGAAGATTTTAGTCGCTATTAGAGTTTACAATTATTTATAAAACTCGTCCTACCCTCGAAATTATTCCTTTTGCCGTTTTATGATTAATAATATAAAAAATTTAAAGAGAATTTTAAAACACGTATTTCTATGCTCACAATTGAATTTATCAACAGTTGTAAACAATTATTTATGCTCGAAAAAACTTGAATTTGTCCAAAATAACAAACACAGTAAATAACAACATTGAGATTTGTGGAAACGAGGTTTGAGGATGCTTAAATAAGTATGGTAACAAGATCTCACACGGGTGTTATTGGGAACACTGTAAAACTGTAACAAAAGTAAATTGTAAATCGAATGAACAGACCATTAAAATAGAGTTATTTGACAGATGAATATTTGAATGAATAACCACATAACCACTCAGTTTTCGAATATGTTAAACCAGATCACGTAAATACAATAACTTAAAGTCTATTTTTCTTTTTCTGGAAGCAGTTTGCAATGGAGAGTTTTTGATTATTACTTAACACTAAGAAGACGAGGAATTTTTCATACCTTCGTGGATCATTGTGGATTATTTTGACCCATATACGAAAACAACTTGATTTTCATTGCTTATTTTATTCAATACAAATACTTATCTTATCCCATATAAAATATGAGAAAAGACATCCCGTTTGGAGCGGCAATTCTATTAGTATCGCCGTGGCCATAATATTTTAAGGGGAGGAACAGAAATAGTCCCAGGATACATATTAATCCGTGGGACGTTGGGAAAAACATTCGACGCTAAATCTACAATAAAATCACTGAATGCAGGTTGAAAAATTTTATCTTTACCGGAATCTTTGTCGACACTCTCGAACTGTTCAGATATGTCGTTGTCGATGTCCTAGAGTGCCCTTACTAAACGTATGTCCGACACACAGTCGAACGGCCACGAAGGTACTTACCAGCTAACACATGTAAACAATTAAACACAACAATGTAAACACGACTACCAAGCATTAGCCAATCCGTTTGTAATAAATGAAGAATCCCCTAAACGTAGCAGAAAACCTGATTTTGCGTTTTTCAGAGAATTAAGATAAGAAGGAGTCGTGATAATTGTTGTTGACTGGCATTTGATTTAAAGTGGACCAGACAAACTATTGTCAACCCGCTAACTATTGTCTATTGATTTAATTAATGTTAAACAAGTAATGTATTATAGGAAAACAGCAAAAGTAACAACAAATATCCCAGTGTTAAAATAATGAATTAAAATAAGGCATTAAAGATCAAAAATATTTATTCAAATTAAAAGTGTTTTGTCATTTTATGAAATATTTAAAAATTCTTAATAAAAAAGACAAAAAAATTTTAAGCATTATAAAATAAAATTTCTGCAGTTTTACACTCTATCAATTCGACATAGGAAAATCTTTCAGAAACTTTATTTTCGTAACATAGTTTTCCGAACTTTATGTTTTCCCGAATGTTTATTATCATGTCTTCCTCTTTTCTTTCCTTGTCGATCCGGAGGTTTAGGACATTCACAAGGCGGTTCCGCACTGCACAAGCGTAATTTGGCTACCACGCACTCCAGGTGACATTCGCCCTTTACTTGTTCTGCAGTGCAAATCTCGTATCCGTTGACAAAGGAAAATCCTACAACCAAAACGGTAAGATTCAGTACGGTATTTTATCAATCTCGAAAATTTGTATCTTAAGACTACACTTACCGATGATGTAAATCACGCAGATTATCAGCAAGATCTTCACATTCTCCATTTCACTCCTAACGCTTCCAAAACAAAGAAAGTATTGAAACAATGTAATCACTCGCTATTTATACGAATTTCTTGTATTTATATCTAAAATAGCAAATAAGCAATATATTAGATGAGAGAAATTATTACCGAGCTTGATATTTTATAAAATTCTTATGGCAATACGAACCTTTACAAATTACTTAAGTCAAGAATACTTACGATATTTTCATTCTTAAATTTTAACAAAGAAATTGTTACGAAACAATGTTTTCTGCATTTACAATTAATCTTTGATTTATAATGTGCAAAAACGCTGTCATGCAAATATGGCGTCCGAAATCCAACAATACATGACGTCATTAATATGCCAATCAATTTTCGTAATAGTTATTATTATTAATGGTAACACAATAATGATATGTTAATAACAAATAAACTTTTCATTAAGTCCTACCTTTCTCTGGATACATGACCCTCTCCTCTATCTTATCGACCTTTCATCGCCAAAATGTAATAGAATGAAAGCCCCTCATATACAAGCCACTATACCAAATTTTCTTTTTTATTCTGTACCTTATTCTGAGATATTAAGCAAAATAGATGCCAACAAACACACAAACTCACGTACATATACACCGCATTTTTTGCTGTTTTTATGTGTTTGGATTCAACAGATCTAAAAAAGTAGAGATTTGCAAAAACTCTATGTTTTGTGAATCAAATTTGAGACGATTTGCATTGTTATGTAGGATAAAAATAACCTACATGACAAGGGAAACTATGGGAATCGTCTCAAATTTGTACAGTAAAAGGTCCATTTAAACTACAAGGAGAGTGAACAAAACTATGCTCCCCACACACCAACATCTATACATACAGAAAAATCCCCAAATATTTTACATTTCTAAACGTTTCGAGATATAATATATAATTAAATATACTAGTTAAATATTATGAAGTGTACTTACAATTAACGCAGATCAGTAAAACCAAAAAGACATCCGTATTGTTCCTATAATTGCAACAATAAACACTTTTATACTCGAATGATCTGTTTACTTAATAAAGTAATAATTTGTATTTATGAATTCCAAATATGTTTGTGTTAATTATTCCAAATACAGTTTTATATTCGAATTGCATTGATTTTAAAAAATAAAAACACTTCAATTCACGAAAAATACAATCTCCAATTACTTCAATTATTTAATTCTTCGAAAACAATCGAATGATATTTTTAATTCTGTTAAAGTAATTATTATGAATATAAAGTAACAAAAATATATTTAATTAAACAAAACGCTGTCAAGTTGTCAACATATTTAATTCGTTTAATTAAAACAATCGTTTAATTCAATTTTTTTCCAAGAATGTTTGGAGACGCCTCAGAAAACTACGACTCATTTCATCTTATTAATAATAAACAAATTAATTCACTTATGGTAAAATGGTATGATGAGAGAGAGATCACGTATCGTAACCAAATGTCATACGTGTTAGATAAACCTGTGACGTATCGGTATTGAATTGCATCAAATTTCTGAGTAATTTAATTAATTTTTCCTCAAAAATAAGGTTTCTAGGTAATGTTAACAATGCTTTTTTTCCTTTTAAAATACATCTAGCAGGTAGGCCCGGCGTTGCTCGGGCAAAAGGATAGGGAAGATTAACATTATTACGTTATAGTCAACCTTACCCGTTATCACTAAATGCAAGAATTGGGTCTCTCTTTTTCCAGACTAATTAAAGAATTTTTAGATGGGTCTAAAAATATGTTCGATTTCCCGCAAAAACTAAAAATCTGCACCTACGTCTTGCACTTCGCTTTCTCTTATCAATTCCCTTGTTACGTAACACTTCCATTGTTACTTAACACTTTCATTGTTGATGGAAGTGTTAAGCCTTAATCCTGTCCCTCTCCCCCGTGGGGAGGAATTTCGAAAAATCCGTTCTTAGTGTGCGTTTTCGTGACGTACCCTAACTGTGTACCAAATTTCAACTTTCAAGTCTTAACTGTTTGGGCTCTGCTCTTATTATTATTATTATTATTATTATTATTATCAACTCGTCTCGATTATATATATAGATTCAACAAAACAAAAATTACGTTATAACAATTTAACTTCAGTTCAAAGAAAATTAAAGTTTGAGCGAAATTTAAGCTTTATAAAATATTAATTTCTATTTTATTAATGTATCAAAATGCCCTTTTACATTATAATTTTTTAAAAATCTTATTTGAAATTTATTTAATTAAAATATATGCACCCCATCTCAAATTAGTAGTGGCGTGCCCCTGTAAATCATACTTTTCCTTTAACAATAGAGTCGTGTTAACTGTTTTTTAGGGCAAACGTTTGAATTGAAATAACGAACAGACGGACAACAGTGGGAATTTATAGTTCTAAATAATTCTTTTTTGAATTATATTTATATATTATAGGATACACAGAAACGTTATCTTTCAATAATTTCATAATAGAAAGTGACCCAATCTATTAAGTTTCATATCTCTGATTTCAGAGTTATTCCAAATATTTTCTTATCAGCTACTTATATAAATAGCGTGCATAACTCTTGTTCGTAGTCAGGTTCTTAATTTTGCGGATGCGAAACTACTTCCAGCATCCGTGGAATGAAGCTTACCAGTTTTCAACCACATATCCATTATTGCTACGGTAGTCTAATTAATATGTAAATAAATAATAAGAGTTATCAATTATGATATAAAAACAAAATAAATACTCACTTGTACTCTTGTACGTGATTGTATTTAACAGACACAATAAGATTAATAGAACTAATATGTGACGTCGTGCGTCTTGATTGGTGTATTTGAAGCACGTGACTTTTACCGAATTTCAAGGTATTATTTTATCCGTAAAATATTTATTTATATTTATTTTTTAAAATCAACTGTCACTTTATATCCAATTTATATTAATATTGTAATTTTAATCTAAAAATCATATTAATCTAATATTTTAATAAGACAGTCCACTACCCCGTTCCTACATAAAAACTTCCTTGTATAAACGATTTCCATTTTACGTGTGTTTTGGCTGAGCAAATAGTGATCACTCGTGGAACCCCTGTCAACGTTCCTGGGAACCCTAGGGTTCCGCGGAACCCAGGTTGAAGACCCCTGTCCTAGAGTACGCTTACTAAACGTATCCGACACACAGTCGAACGGCCACGAAGGTACTTGCCAGCTAACACATGTAAACAATTAAACACAACAATGTAAACACGACTACCAAGCATTAGCCAATTCGTTTGTAATAAATGATGAATCCCCTAAACGTAACAGAAAACCTGATTTTGCGTTTTTCAGACAATTAACATAAGAAGGAGTCGTGGTAATTGTTGTTGACTGGCATTTGATCTAAAGTGAACCAGAGTGATAAGCTGATACCAGCATTCGCCAACCAACGATTGTCTATTGATTTAATTAATGTTAAACAAGTAATGTATTATAGGAAAACAGCAAAAGTAACAACAAATATTTCAGTGTTAAAATAATGAATTAAAATAAGGCATTAAAGATCAAAAATATTTATTCAAATTAAAAGAGTTTTGTCATTTTATAAAATATTTAAAAATTCTTATTAAAGAAGACAAAAAAAATTTTAAGCATTATAAAATAAAACTTCTTCAGTTTTACACTATCAATTCGACATAGGAAAATCTTTCAGAAACTTTATTTTCGTATAATATTTTTCCGAACTTTATGTCGTCCCCAATGTTTACTATGTCGTCCCCAAACTTTAGGTCCTCTTTTCTTTTCTTTCACTATTCCTCGTCGATCCAGAAGATTGGGACATTCACAAGGCGGTTCCGCACTGCACAAGCCTAATTTGGCTACCACGCACTCCAGGCTACATTCGTCCCCTACTTGTTCTACAGTACAAATCTCGTATCCGTCGACAGAGGAAAATCCTACAACCAAAACGGTAAGATTCCGTACGATATTTTATCAATCTCGAAAATTTATATCTTAAGACTACACTCACCGATGAAGTAAATCATGCAGATTATCAGCAAGATCTTCACATTCTCCATTTCACTACTAATGCTTCCAACACAACGAAAGTATCGAAACAATGTAATCACTTGCTAATTTCTTGTATTTATATCTGAAGTTACAAATAAGCAATATATTAGATGGAAGATATTATTACCGAGCTTGAAATTTTATTAAACTCTTATGGCAATACGAACCTTTACGAATTACTTAAAGCAAGAATACTTACGATATTGTCGTTCTTAAGTTTTAACAAAGGAATTGTTACGAAACAATGTTTTCTGCATTTACAATTAATCTTTGATTTATAATGTGCAAAAACTCTGTCATGCAAATATGGCTCCCGAAATCCAACAATACATGACGTCATTAATATGCTAATCAATTTTCGCAATAGTTATTATTATTAATGATAACGCAATAATGATATGTTAATAACTAATAAAATAGTCATTATGTCCTTCCTGCCTTTCTCCAGATACATGACTCCCCCTCTATCTTTCTTTCTACCTTCTCGACCTTACATCGCCAAAATGTAATAGAATCAAAGCCCACGATATACAAGCCACTATGCCAAATTTTGTTTCTTATTCTCCACCCTATTCTGAGATATTAAGCAAAATAGATGCCAACAAACACACAAACCCACTTACATATACACCACATTTTTTGCTGTTTTTATCTGTTTGGATTTAGAAGGTCTAAAAAAGTAGAGATTTGCTAAAACTTTACGTTTTGTGGGTCAAATTTGAGACGATTCCCATAATTTCCCTTGTTACGTTGGTTATTTAGAACCTACGTAACAAGGGAGACTATGGGAATCGTCCCAAATTTGGACAATAAAACCTCTGTTTAAACTACAAAGAGAGTGAACAAAACTATGCTCCCCACACACTAACATCTATACGTACAGAAAAATCCCCAAATATTTTACATTTCTAAACGTTTCGAGGTATAATATATAATTAAATATACTAGTTAAACATTATAAAGTGTACTTACAGTTAACGCAGATCAGTAAAACCAAAAAGACATTCGTATTGTTCCTATAATTGCAACAATCAACACTTTTATACTCGAATGATCTGTTTACTAAGTAAAGTAATAATTTGTATTCATGAAATCCAAATATGTTTGTGTTAATTATTCCAAATACAGTTTTATATTCGAATTGTATTGATTTTAAAAAATAAAAACAGTTCAATTCACGAAAAAACAACCTCTAATTACTTCAATTATTTAATTCCTCGAAAACAATTAAATTATATTTCTAATTCTGTATTTGTTGAAGTAATTTTTACGAATATAAAGTAACAAGAATATATTTAAAAAAAAAACAAAAATTACGTTTTAACAATTTAACTTCAGTTCAAAGAAAATTAAAGTTTGAGCGAATTTAAAGCTTTTTAAATGATAATTTCTATTTTATTAAGGTATCAAAATGCCCTTTTGTATTTACAGTACAAATATTTTTAATTATATTTTAAATTTATTTAATTAAAATATATGCACCCCATCTCAAATTAGTAGTGGCGTGCCCCTGTAAATCATACTTTTCCTTTAACAATAGAGTCATGTTAACTGTTTTTTAGGGCAAACGTTTGAATTGAAATAACGAACAGACGGACAACAGTGGGAATTTATAATTTTTTAAAAATCTTATTTGAAATTTATTTAATTAAAATATATGCACCCCATCTCAAATTAGTAGTGGCGTGCCCCTGTAAATCATACTTTTCCTTTAACAATAGAGTCGTGTTAACTGTTTTTTAGGGCAAACGTTTGAATTGAAATAACGAACAGACGGACAACAGTGGGAATTTATAGTTCTAAATAATTCTTTTTTGAATTATATTTATATATTATAGGATACACAGAAACGTTATCTTTCAATAATTTCATAATAGAAAGTGACCCAATCTATTAAGTTTCATATCTCAGATTTCAGAGTCATTCCAAATATTTCCGTATCAACTACTTATATAAATAGCGTGCACAACTCTTGTTTGTAGTCAGGTTCTTAATTTTGTTGCAAATTCTCTAACATGGAAAAAACGAAGATCCTGCTGTTGATCTGTTTGATTTACTTCACTGGTAAGTTTGTATGATGTAATTATCCAATATACGTGAAACAATACATCGAATCTTACATGCCTCATTCGTAGCATTTCCTTCCGTATCGAGTCAACAGATGTGTACTCCGGAAGAAATTAGAAAAGAGTGCCGTGAAGATTGCATAGTACGTAGAAATCGCTTGTGTGTAAAAATTCCACCTTGCCTCTGTCCGAATCTTCAACATACTGGAGGTGAACACATGGGAGGACGGTAAATAAACATTTTCGAATTTCTCGCTTTAACAATTTTTTATTCGCATTCGCCTTTCAATTGTTGTACTCCGCAGTCGAGTTCTATCTTTTTTGCATTTTAATTTAAGATTTACTTTATCGTTTTGTTTCTGTAATTTTGTGTAAACATATTCCTTGCCGAAGGGCATGGCCGAGTGTAACAATTATTATTAAATAAATAAATGAAATTTCCTATTCAAAGCTGTCGTAAGTCTCAAATTGCGGAATTACATTACATTATTTTACTTCTCATTTTAATGACAATTTACTAAACGAAGGGGTCCGATATGCTCCGGGATCTGGCTGCTGCAGTACAGACTAGTTCTGTTTATTTTAAATGCTGCTGGAAAAGTTATTAATAAACACGCGGTTGTATTATTGAAGAACACACCGAACACGGCAATTATAACTTTTCTTCATCCGGATTGTAATAACGAGTAATTATTTATGGCGACACTGTCACAATGCAAAGCTGCAACTTATTGCATCTTGTTGCACAATGCTTTAAATTTTAGTACAGTGTCTTGCCCCGTACATCATACTGTTCCTGTTAACAAGAGAGTCGTGCCTGTCACTCATCTAACACCATCCTGCATAAAATTTTTGAATTGAAGTAACGTGACTTACTGTCCAGACTGGAAGTTTGTATACAATTAATCGAGCTTCTGGCTTATAAGCTTTCAATATCTGTTCTCGACTTTTATGTATCTAACTCCATGTAAGGTTAAGGACAGGCAGAAATAAGATGGAGGTTGCAAAGTGTAATCCAATAATCTATTGCAAAGCAAATAATCTATTTTTCGTGAGTAATTTTATTTTATCGAGCGTATAAAGCCTGTGCACGGTATGGCCTACAATATTAGAAGGCAGTGTACGGCACCTTTAGATTTTTCACATTTAGGTCATACGGTTGAATGTAGGACATCATTTCTATAATAATTTAATCTTCGCATTCAATTCAAATTTAAAACGGGTCATTCAACCAAATATTTTGTAATAACTTTGTATATTGTATTTCAAACTCAACGATACGTTATTCGTCTGTTATTTCAGAAATAATTCGGATGTTTTACTGGCATAAATACAGTCAGATAGAGTAACGTTTTGGCAGTGTCGATATCGTTTAGATCTTTTCAGAGAATAAAAAGAACCAGATATAAAATTTTGCACAAGGCATGCGATAAACTACATAAGGCACTGTCGTCTATTAAGCATTTTCTCCGTAAAATTTCTCAAAATAAATTAATCTAACTTGCTTTACTTTCCTACCAATCATTTTTTATTTGTATTTTTACATTGTTTCTTAAACCATACTAGCAAAGTCATTTATGGAGAGATATGAACAAAACATTCAAAGCAATGTAAGACACGTGTCGTTTATAAATCCACTCGTTGTGTGCAAATTTAATGTTTAACGGTATTTGTTTAACGGATGAAGTCGTTTGATTTACAACGAACAAACACCATACAATTTTTCGTATATATTTGATATTTTCAAATATAAGAGTTATTTGTTTTTCACGCCAGTCACACTCTGGCAATGCATTGTAATTTGTAATAATATAAAACTGCAAGAAATGATTATATTTCAATCGCAATTTCGACTATAATATTTGCAACTAATCGTTGTTTTGACTATCGTTTCTGTATTATTATTTTATGTATTTAATAATAAAGTTATCGTTAAATATAAAGAAAAAAATGGTCCATGAAAAAAGCACACTTGTTCTTCGGTACAAACGCATTATTCTTGCATAGTTGTGTTTAGGAAAAACGATTATTTCTATAGATCTGGAAGATGGCAGCAACATTTAAAATTTGCATTGTCTTTCTTGTTTAAGTAAAAATGTCGATTTTCTCCACGAGATTTTCTTTTTGTTTAAGTAAATATTGAAAATTCATAACTTTTCAGCAGATTTTCACTACTCGAGATTGAAATTTCTGGTTCTATATCGAAATTCAGCTAAAAGTTTTTGGGTAGATTTGTTATAAAAGGATTGAGTACTCTTATTACGTTTGTATTAACGTTTCTTGACGTTTTTACCGGTTACGAAGTTGGACTTTTATTCCTTCGTTTTAGCTTTATTTCTTCTCGGTACCGCTTCTGCGTAACCAGTTTAACAATATAGAGGTCACAGACTTTGTCACACAATTATTTACAATAGATTTATAAAAATACAAAACCATAAGATAAGTATAGTCACATGTGTTACATAATTGCTTACAAAAGATAAACATAGATATATAATTTAAAAAATTACTACATTTGAGAGTAGAATCCTCGAGATTACAAACCCAAGTCAACAGTATATACATTTTACAGAGTGTAGATAAAATAAGAAGAGAACTCATAGATGATAGAAGTTAACAATTATATGACATATAGTACACGGCAAATATACGAGTATTCTTTATGCGGAAGAATGAAACAGAGCTGAAAGATGTAGTGTCGGACACTATCGAAACACTCGCAGATCGGACGTGAAAAGGTGTTCCTCTTTCGGAACCTATATAAATAAAGATTAAACCGGCTATGTTCAGAAACAAACTGCACAATTTGATGCGTGGGTCTAAACCAGCTCCTTTGTAAATGCTCCTTGATGTTCGGAATAAATTTTCTAGTCAACTCGCAACGGTCTTCAGACTTCCCATCTTTGTTGCCACTCGTTTATCTTTACTAGCCACATGTGTTGCTTCACAGTCCTTGTAGGAAGGATCTTATAAACAAACGGGCTACTGGCAGCAACGGCAGTCTCCCTTGCAAGAGTGTCAGCCTTTTCGTTTTCATGGATACCCTGATGTCCTCTAACACAATCGAGGAAGTAATAGTTTTTAGAGGAGATAATGGTATCCAGGATCTTCTTGAGAAGAAAACTCAAGTTGCTCTCGTTTCGAAGAGCAGAGTCTAAGGTCTTTGGCGATTTTTTCTCACCACAGAATAGCTCTGTAAATGGCAAAGAGTTCCGTCTAATACACAGTACAGTCCGGATGTAGGGAGCCAGAAAACGAGATCACTTCCCTATTATCAATGTATATCACAAAGGCACAACCTACGCCTTCTTCAGTCTTGGAAACATCGGCATATATCCTATACTCGATAAGAGTAAGGCTCACAGGGCGAAGCAGCAGGATGAGGAAGATTGGTGAAGGGTACCGTGGATTTATAAGAGGCAGATGAGAAAAACACAGTTTCAATATTGATATAATTTTCTCTGATGAAAAATCTGGCGGCGTATATTTCGAGTAAGGATCAAACGAAATTTTTCTTCCTATAACCTGTACTGCAGGGTTAGAAATTGAGGAGTAGGCCTTATAAAAGCATTTCTCTGTTCTGATTGAAGCCGCCTGAAGGTCGCGACGTTGGACCCGCTGTCCTTAATAAACTTGAGGATTTTAAACTGCTTTATACAAAACATTAAAAGAGTGTCACCCGTCGCATATGCATTTTCCTGTGAGGCCTAAACATGAGAACTATGCCTCAAAGCTTAGATCGTTTTTCTAGAAAATACCTAATAATTTCCTTCCTCACCGTTTGTTAAGCAATTCCTTGTTGTTTAGACGAAGCGGATGACTGGACAAAATCAAACTTATACGTACGTATCATTATTCCAACAAAATTAAACGTCGTCATCGTTTGCTATATAATATCGAATACCGTGCGAAACTCAGACAGCTCGCAACACAATGAAGGCACTGCTTTTGCTTTTCCTAATTTCTATAAGTGGTAAGTAAAGTTTTAAAACTGTAGTTTGTAATCTTAACGAAAAGATTAATGAAAATATTTTCAAAATTAATAATTTTCTAATGTGCATTTGCTAAAATAGGAAAATATTTATCAATAATTAAAATTTATATTTTGCTTTGATAACACCGAGCCAACTCTAAGTCTGAACTTTTACTTTCTCTTTTTTTATTTACTTATTTTTTCATTCTCTTCTTTTCTCTTCGCCTCCTCGTTACAATTTGTTCTTACTGATGTTCTTCCCAACATCTTTTTTCCTCTGTGTTAATCTCTAAGTTGTAGTGTCTGAACAGTTTAATTAGGGATAAAAGAAATATAGATTAACTTCCTTGTTTTTTTTACTGTTAGCTAAAACTCCAAGTGCTGAGAATTTTCTCAATTTTCGATGTTGGAAGATGTTAAATGTCATTTTACTAACAAGTTATTTTCAATTGTAAACGGATATCTTTTCACGTAGTATCTGCCGTTTGTATTCAACGAATTATAGGGGAGACCGGGGCAACTTCGGCATGCGGGGCAAGTTTGTCAAGCGCTTTTTTTTAAAAACAAATTAAAAGGAGACTTTGGTTATAGGTTAGTCAGATGAGTTTTATTGGTGGCTTGTTGAGTGTAGTGTTTTTATTGTTCTCCAACAAGCGTAGTTGAATTATCAAGCAAATTTTCATTTTCGTTCAATTCCATATAATATTTTTTTTCCATTTATATTGAATTGGCAGGTTTTGTTATAATTCCATGATAACGAAAGTTACTTTTCCTGTTAGAAGGATGTAACTTCAACTTATTCACGTGGCCAGATCGTGGCTTGGCATTCTGTTCTCAGGGTTGTACTTAATGTTTCGAAATCATGACTAGCGGGGTAAGATCGGCAACATAAAGCCACATTAGAAGCAAAGGATAAAAATCAAACAGATGATAAATGAAAACATGTTTGCATTTGTTATTCATGTATATATGTCTTTGAACTTGCATTTCGTTGTAATAATATTAAATGGGTGTTGGATTTGTATTTCTTTGTTTTAATAGTGAATTCCAACTTATACATTGTTAATAACATAATTTTATATACGTGCTTATCTTGCTCCATTACTGTTGCCCCTATACCAGGGGCAACTTTTATAAAAAGAATTAAAATAATTACAACTTTACAAAAAGAGAGAAGTTGCCGATCTTGCCCCTATACCCGGGGCAACTTCGTCAATTTCTCTCTTCTTGTAAAGTTGTAATTATTTTAATTATTTTTATTTCCAAACTGATTTTAACCAGTTCTATAGTAAGGTAACATTTCAATAGACAATATGCAAAGCTTTTTTTTCAGTTTACAGCAGTATTTATTACACAAAATTTAAGTAAAGCTTAACATGCCGATCTTGCCCCGGTCTCCCCTATAACTTCTTTAACTCCTTATTTATCTAACTTGAAAATTTTCACAGTTTACTGTTCGATTCCAAATATTCTATTTGCATAATTAGATAATAGTAGAATAGATCTTCCTAATTTCTTCCTTCCTATCCAATATTTGCCATTGAACTAGGATTAGATAAAAATTTTTTCGCAGTAAATATCTTTTAGTGTCGTTTGTTTCTTCTTTCTCAAATCAGCTTCGATATATTTTATTTTCTTTTAAACTGAGAGAACTCGCAGATAACTGTTATGTAATTTGACTAACAATTTCTGTTAAATTCTTCTGTAGAAAGTAATTCGAAACAAGAGATATTTCGCGTGTATCAAATGTTAGATTATTTTCACGAAAGTTTCTTCTGATAAATATGTTTGTAAGACACGAATTATGCGATATAACTTATGAAATCTTATTGCTTTATTTGCAGGATTTTCCACCGTAATTGGGTACGAGATTTGTACAGCCGAACAGTTGAGAAATGAATGTTATCTGATATGTGTAGTGGCTAAAGGCAAACTCTGCATGACCAATCCTCCTTGTCAATGTCCCAAACCTCCCGATAGACAAGGAAAACACAGAGGATAATATACAAATTAAACACGTTTTCAATCATAATTGTTTCTTGTCTTTTGTCAAATTAATATCGAAAAATATTAAAGAAATTTAATTTTTGTAAAGCGTATGAAGTTTTTTTCTATTAAGTTTATTATAAACAAGAAATATTCTATACTTTAATAAATGATTTTTCTGACGTAATAGCCTGTCACTCGTCAATTCAACGCTGAAGTTTTTAGCGTGTGTTTTATTTAAAAATATTTACTAAATAATCGAGAATAATGCTTAAGAAAACACTTCGGAATATCATTATAATTAGGCTTTTATTACGGAAATATATTTATAACCCGATCGTATAATTACTCCGTTTGTTATTCCGCTGTACTTTCATAAAAGATATATCGAGAGAAATTAAACTGTTTAGAATACAGAACTTGCCACCTTCATAGTGACCGAAGAAAACACTCTTTCTTTTTTAACTGAAGCAGGCGAAGTAAACATTGGAATACTCTTTCAAAAATATTTTAATTTATTACCTTTATATTTTAATATATTTAAAAGCATTATTATGTAAGCATTAAACTTATATGGTCGAAGTAATTTGACCAAAAGTAATCGTTGACTTCCTCCCAGAAGAGAGAATGGTCAACCACTACTACTTAATACTGGTCTGCCATTAATATTTGAAAAATGCTCCGTGTTAGACAGGTTTTGATGGCCGCGTACGTGATAGTAGTTGCTAACCTTAATCCGAAAGACTTCTTATGACTTGTTTAAGTAAAAGAACTCTTGTAAAATGCTAGAATAATTCATTTTATGTAATAATAAAGTGTTTAAATTCTGACAGAACATTGTATAACCTACGTGGGAAGTACGTTTTCATAAATATTGCGTTTATAGAAAAGTTACTGGGTTGACATTTGAAAAAATTGTACATCTATAAATTCTCACTGTCGTTTCTTAATCTCAAAAACAGAGTTAGATACATGAAAGTCGAGACGAGAAATAGAAATGGTAAAAGAAAGAGCACAAGATTAACTATTGTATATATTAACTTCCGATTTGTACCGTAAGTCACGTTATTTCAATTCAAAAAATTTCTCTGAACGGAGTTTGATACATAACCGGCGCGGTTCTATCACTCACTTCTACACTTCACTCAGACAAGTGCTATGTGCTACCTATTGTAGTGACGCATCCATTTCGCTCTATATCATTGTTGCACTAATTCAGTGAATATATATATATATATGTATTTAAATTTTATCTTTTTCTGTAAGAATTATATTTAAATAATTATTTTCTGAAATTTTATGCCAATAGATAGCGCTACATGTAAAGCCATCAATCGAATATAAAGAGAAATTAATCGATCTATAAAAATCCAATCTAATCTATAATTTCGGGTGATTTGTACGTCATGACCTATGCTAGAAGTTCTTAAATAAAACTGCCGAGTTTCGTAGCAATTGGCCGAACGGTCTCGGTGTGTATAGCGAACAAACAAACAAACAGACATACTTATTTAAATTTATAGATCACATTATAGATGTTAGCCTGGTGGAACTACAGTTTTATAACACGAAACTTAATAATAATCTAAATTTTATCGTAGTAATTTT